ACCACCAAGAGGCATTTTCAAGCGGGGATTAAGATAAACAGGCAAAGAACTATTTTATTTGTTGTTATTGTGAGAACAATTTATGAAACAGATACTGCATAAAAATGGATTATTTCTTCAGGAATTCCTGTGCGATGGCGTGTAAGACAGAACTCAGTGAAAGAAACAGAACTATTATTGCAACCTCCGGTTTAACTGTACGGAAATTAAACGCGAGTGATAGTAGGCGCAAAAGAAACATTCTCGGTATTCAGCCACAGTGGCGCCACCATGCCCGTCGCCGCGGCACGCACAACAATGAAGCCGCTGGCCGCTCCAGCCGAGTCGGCCGCCGGCTGAGCCGCGGCTGGCTGAAGTCTGAGCCGGCTTAAGCAGCCGGCCTGACGTCGGCTACGGCTTGCGAAAACCCTCAGCCGGCTGGCCAATAGCCGGCTAACCCGCGGCTTAGCCGGCCTCGGCTAAGCCGTTGCCATCTCTATATCAAATAGTGCACAAAGGTCAACTAGCCGGGATTTGGCCGCCACCGGGTCCGTCGTTGTTGAAGCGGGAGAGCGGCCTGCTCTATACCAGGCACTTTATTCCCTTCGAAGAAGCGCAGAGCGTCCTCAGGGACGCCTCCGACAAATTCCGCATCGTCGAGCATCTCCGCGATGCTTTTAAACAGCAACACGGAACTAATGGGTCCTATCGCTTCGACCGTTGCCGCTTCCACATGCGCGTTGAGAAGGACGGCTGCACGTTCATCGTCGTCAGTTTCGCAAAGGACGCGGAAACGGCCCAGAAGACGGAGACCACGTTGGCCGAAGTACTGCGGACCCATTTAAAAAGCCGGGATAGTCTGCCGCCGATTAGATTGCAAGACGCCCGCCCACCGGATGCCGGTTAGTAGCTTCAGGCCTCTACTGCAATAGTATGATTAATTTGTCGCAGTTTAGTGAGAAACGCTTTTAATGTTGCTGCAGACGTGGAAAGCGGTGCTGAGCGGCCGTCTGCGGGAATCGGTCATTTGCCGGCGTGGATGCAGAGTGACATCATGGCACATCTGGATGTGCATTCCCGAATGAGGGCCAAATGGTAACACTAATTAATTAATTACTAACGTGGCTATAACGATTTTGGATGCTTTTTTAATGTTTAAATTCGATCATTTTTATTAGTGTAAATCAGCGCAGGCATGTTGTTATGTATACTGGCTATTGTCGATAAAGCTCAGATGAGTATTACTGACGTCGTCCATCATTAACATACTCCATGCTCAGAGATAATTAAGCCTCTCGCACGTGACTGATGCCTGATGGTGGTGACTGTTGCGACAGGGTCTGCGCGTTGTGGCAGTTATTGCTGAGCGACGCCCGCATGGCGGAGCACGTCAGCATCTCTTTCGAAAGCTGTTGTCACCTGCAAGCCGATACGGACAACTGCTTCAAAGCGGCCGCTCTCATGAGCCGCTCTATCACATCCGCCACCCTCACTCTGACCTTTCTGCCAGTCCTCCTTCCAAAACACTTCGTTTTGCTGTTGCCCTGGCTTCGAGGCAGTCAGTATGATCTGCGAGTCATTGCTTTCAAAGACCACACTTGCGACAAACCGATTTACATTCACCCTCGGTCCGCAGGAGGGTTTGGCAAGCACCCGGCAGTCCAGCCTGCAATGCATTATAAGAGCCTCTCTAAAATGATTTTTTGATCAACTGGACCGTCGGCGACCGGACCAGCTACCAGCTACCAAGTGAGCAGTTGCGAGTCACCATTCCGCAGCTGCTTCTCAAATGCAGCGAAGGCCGAGAACAGATGTCGGCGCGCTTCATGCAGGCGCTGAACGCCCACTTCCCGCCTATCACGGACGAGATGCGGGAAAAGGTCACGGCGGTGCACGCGCGCTGGGTGCGCACTCTCATGTGTCCCGAGGAGTGGGAGGCCGTTCGCACCTTCATAATCTTGTGAGTATCCCATGTACCCTGCAGCTATGCATTTGTGGCATCAGGAAATGAGACATGGATATAATATTTGCATTGCAGGTTTAGTGGATTTGACTCGGGAGGCAAGCTGGACATGTGGGACGATGTGGACTTGCGCCGGCTGGATGTATCGATACTCAGCCGCTTGGCCATTTATGGCATACATGAATTCTTCCGGGTCGGAGACGATGCAACCGAAAACTAACATCGCGGATGTCGTTCTTAATAAATATTAAGCTGCTATAATTGCACATAATATGCACATGACTAGCTACGTGCTGGTGTAATCAAAATTCTGTAAACCGGCATATTATTTTCTCATAAAATGAGTACAGTTTTGAGAAAAAGTTAATAATTTACCAGTACAACTAGTCCCTCTAGGACTCAGGACATCAAGAGCTGCTATTCCGAGCAGTTATTCCTACACTCTCTTTCTGTTTTCCGCGAAAATTTGGAGTAGGTTCGTCACCGTTCGTGTAAATTTCCAGTAAACTTTGTCATTCTGCATGCTTCGCAAATGCAACGGCTTCTTGACAATCCGAGTGCAATCACTCTATACGACCGGTTATTGTCAGTCTGTCAGCACCCGTGTTATTCTATGGACTTTCAGTAGAAGTACCTGTATTTGCAAGCAGCGAGCACAGGAATATTACAACAAATGATCGAGCAATGGTAAGAAATATTGTTAGTAAGAAACAGCCATAATTATACTGGAACTGCGTAATAAAGCGAGCCTCTGAAATCTACAAGAGTAATTCGTAAATGAAAACAGCGTAAATGCTAAATGCTTAAACAAAGACAGTTATAGGAAAAACAAAATAAAATGTTTAAAAAAGTGTTTCGGAAAAGTTAACGCAAACAGATAATTAGATTTAGGATGTGTTCGTCGGTGTTGTACGTCTGGAATGTCCGTGTCCTAGAACGTAACTTTTGGTCGCTTTTGAGCAATTATTTGCTAGTGTATTCTCTGCTTGTATGACAAACTCTGCCCCAGAAGGTGTATCGATTACACGGACGAACCATGCAGAAAGGAAAGAATACGATTCAGCCCCGGTATACAAAACTAACACGTACATTCGCACAGCAACTCGTCATTGAATTCCGCTACCGTTCCCGTGTATGGTTGGATAACGTCAGTCACGACACAGTCACGGACACACATCCAGTGTATCCGGATCAGACCGAGACAGCGTTGCGCTGTGCAGAAAACAAAACATACTGAGCATCGTCGGTCTGTCTCTCCTGTTCGATCTGGCTGGGGTCGTTTCGTGCGTAGCGCATCGTGGGAAACCATTGCCATTCCTCATTTAATTTGCTCAGCATCTCAAGCGAAACGTCCGTCATACGCTTAAAAGCTTCTGACAGTAGGAGACGTGGTTTGGACATGGATATATTTATATATGAGCCAGCGTAATGCCAACCGTGAAGAACATAACCTGTCTGGCGGATTAATAGATCAAGGTATCGGCATTCTGGCCGAGTCTGGCAAAAACCAGTCCAGTAACGGATTGACCGTGGTGAACAGGCAAACACGTCATAGCACGGGTTCCTGCCGACCCTGCCGGATCAGACTGGGAGAAGTCCATGTTCTCGGTTGTGGCAGACACATACGGCGATATATAGCTGCTTGAAATTCCAAGCAGCTATACTTTATAGCTATAAGGCAAGCTTTTGGGGATGGAAGAAAGGTGTAGCCGAATCACCTTTATCGGTGAAACAGTGCAGGTGTGACATTTCTTCTTTGAGTTTCGTCTACAGATTTCTGTGCTCGCCACTTCATACACTTTTGAACCGCTTGGCTGACTTAATGACGAGCGGATGCAGTTGTCCTGTCCGGTCGTTGTCTCCCGTGGCAGGTGATTCGCAACTGTTGGAGTCGCTGGTGCCGCTGCGGGAGGAGTTCACGGTGCCGGGCCAGCTCATTACGCGTCCTGTGCACGGCCTGCGCGTCCGTCTCCACAAGCGCTTATACTAATACTGTATTCGGCGAATACTATTCGCATTGCTGTTGATTTACTATATAAATAGTGGATTTTTATGCCTTTTAATTATTTGTCGGCGCCGCAATGGTGTCTTTTATCTGTTGTACTACAGTATATCTGATTAGCAAACGATGGCAAAGAAAAGGACGTATATGCCGTACGTCGAGAATATAGCGAATTAAATTGGATAAGTACGAAAACAGCTTTCCGGTAAAACCGTGCTGGAACACTTTGACACAGAGCAATTTGTCATGCAGGTATCGATAAGCAGCCACCCGAGAAAAACAGCTAGAGACACTTTGAATGAACTTCGCTCACAAACAAAAGTTCTAAGAAAAATTGAAGTGTTATCTGAAACTGATATGGTGCTGGCGCCAGGTAAGCAGTTAGACCCCGCCGTCCGGTCGTCGTAGCTAGCGATCTCTGAAACTTTTCTGCAAGGTCACGCTTTGTAACATTGACTTTATGATGTTTGAAACGTGTTTCTTCCACGATAAATACAAAAAACTGCCCTGGTAAGATTACAAAAGCATCCGAAATCATAAAATGTAGTTGAATAATACAATCAACGAGCGGTGTGCAACCGGATTTGATTCAAAGCGCAAAAATTCCCAGCAACTTCGCTCGAACAGAGAAGCTGTTATTTGCGCAATAAGCGTTAAGGCATATATCTTTACTGTTTTTAGTCTTACGATTCATAAGCTTGTCCCGTAATTTCTAACGAAAAGATATCAGATAGCACGTGCCACGTGTTCAGCGCGAAAGTGGCGTTATGAACAATTTCCAGTACGCTAAATCTACCACACCTCTATACACCTGCGTCCTCTCAAAATTTAAGATAAAGTGAAGGAGAAAAATAAATATTTTATATTTTATATCGACAGTTTATAATTCAGATCGATAACTGGCATGTATTAACAATGCCAGATACATTTAAAGCGTAAAATAGTGCAAATTAAAAATAGTGTAAATTTAAAGCGTAAATTATTCTTATTTGTCGCTGTGTTCATGCGTTAGAAATTACGAGACGAGCTTTGTACATATCTGTACCTACCGTTTCATTATACATCGGCCGCGGCCAGCATGACGTCCATCTCGACGCTGAGCAGTAGCAACAGGTGCAGGAGGCGGGCCAGCTGCTGGTGCTGTTTTACGGTATGAACGAGGATGACGACGAATTGCGCCAGCACCGTCACCGCCTCGAGGCGTATCACGGGAACCAGCCAGATATCGACATCGCACTGCGAGGTGACAGCGTCCGTCGCTGCTGTTGCAGCATCGGTGGGGCATACCATAACTGTACGGTACAGGGGCGGCCGCCATCCAATCCATCCTAATCGACGGCATCATCGGGAGGACCGGTGGCCATTGCAATATCCAGGGAAATTGGCTGGAGTGCAAGCGAAGGAATTTTCACTTGGACCGTTGGGCCAGGCAGTAAAAGTAATGAACGGAGGAAAAAGTACAGAAAGCTTTTTGTTTACAGAAATATGAGTACAACTGAAAGGCAAGGAAAAGTGGTGAACGGAGTGGTTAAAATAATAATTTATTTTCAAATGTTCTAAACGGTGCCACCGCGTCAGGGTTTTGGTTGTTCGGCTGGCTGTTCATTAACACTAACTGCTGATAAGTACGTATTAATTTTATTACAATCGTGGTATTAACAACGAAAATAAGTACAGTATGGTGCGAGTAGGCCTCCATAGTTCGTGCAGTTATCAGCCGACAGTCGCTCATTTACTCCGCGCAATTTGCGCGGGATCCACTAGTAAAATACATAAAGGTGGTAAAAATTAGTCAATTGTGATGTCAGTTTTTATGTGAGTATTACAGTATATATAATTATTATGTGTGTATTTATATTTAACAAGAACAAAAGGCTGTGTCCGGGTGATGCTTATATACTGCTCCTTTCTAGTTTCTAGTACTCACCTAAATGAAAACTTCCATATATTTCCAAAATAAACCGTTTCTCTTTAAATTTTAAGGGATTTAGCGCGGTACATAGCACTAAATTCGTGTATATTGACGGGAACTTTCGCTGTCGGGCACTCCCAAACACTTTTTTGCATTGCTTTATAGTATTTCGTTGCCAAAAGAACTGTATTACGTAGTTGTGAAAAACCGGGCCCAATCCCTTAAACTCGTTTGGATTAGGGGGTTTAAAATGGCATATACAGTAGACTGCATAATTTAGGTTACCTGATTTGAGTAGTGGTGACTCGCGAGTCCACCTTTCGCCATCGTTTCCTGGGCAGCGTCATGCGTGCTCCTTGTGGTTTTCCCGAAGGTATTCGTTGTCTTTCCGAACGTGGTCATAACAGCTCAGCGTCAGAAATTTATTACAAGCAACACAATTAATTTTGATGAATGTGGAATGTCCATAGAATGTCCAAGTTAGGACATTAAGTGGTCCTATGAGGATTGTACCAACAGACTAGGACACAAGCACGTGAACACATAGAACCATAATAGAACCCATAGAACCTCCATAGAACCTCCATAGAACCACCATAGAACCACAATGGAACCAGTTAAATAACGAACAGCCGGCATGCCCCACACTGCCCCTTCTTTTCCGGCTCCCATAGAACCAAATAGAACCACCATAGAATCTCCATAGAACCACCATAGAACCACTATGGAACCAGTTACATAACGAACAGCTGGAATACTCCCACACTGCCCCTTCTTTTCCGGCTCCCATAGAACCACACAGAACCACCATAGAACCTCCATAGAACCACCATAGAACCACAATGGAACCAAGTACATAACGAACAGCCGGCATGCTCTCACACTGCCCCTTCTTTTCCGGCTCCCATAGAACCACATAGAACCACCATAGAACCTCCATAGAACCACCATAGAACCACTATGGAACCAGTTACATAACGAACAGCTGGAATACTCCCACACTGCCCTTCTTTTCCGGCTCCCATAGAACCACATAGAACCACCATAGAACCTCCATAGAACCACCATAGAACCACAATGGAACCAAGTACATAACGAACAGCCGGCATGCTCTCACACTGCCCCTTCTTTTCCGGCTCCCATAGAACCACATAGAACCACCATAGAACCTCCATAGAACCACCATAGAACCACTATGGAACCAGTTACATAACGAACAGCTGGAATACTCCCACACTGCCCCTTCTTTTCCGGCTCCCATAGAACCACATAGAACCACCATAGAACCTCCATAGATCCACCATAGAACCACTATGGAACCAGTTACATAACGAACAGCTGGAATACTCCCCACACTGCCCCTTCTTTTCCGGCTCCCATAGAACCACATAGAACCACCATAGAACCTCCATAGATCCACCATAGAACCACTATGGAACCAGTTACATAACGAACAGCTGGAATACTCCCACACTGCCCTTCTTTTCCGGCTCCCATAGAACCACATAGAACCACCATAGAACCTCCATAGATCCACCATAGAACCACTATGGAACCAGTTACATAACGAACAGCTGGAATACTCCCACACTGCCCCTTCTTTTCCGGCTCCCATAGAACCACATAGAACCACCATAGAACCTCCATAGATCCACCATAGAACCACTATGGAACCAGTTACATAACGAACAGCTGGAATACTCCCACACTGCCCCTTCTTTTCCGGCTCCCATAGAACCACATAGAACCACCATAGAACCTCCATAGAACCACCATAGAACCACTATGGAACCAGTTACATAACGAACAGCTGGAATACTCCCACACTGCCCCTTCTTTTCCGGCTCCCATAGAACCACACAGAACCACCATAGAACCTCCATAGAACCACAATGGAACCAAGTACATAACGAACAGCCGGCATGCCCTCACACTGCCCCTTCTTTTCCGGCTCCCATAGAACCACATAGAACCACCATAGAACCTCCATAGAACCACCATAGAACCACTATGGAACCAGTTACATAACGAACAGCTGGAATACTCCCACACTGCCCCTTCTTTTCCGGCCCCATAGAACCACATAGAACCACCATAGAACCTCCATAGAACCACCATAGAACCACTATGGAACCAGTTACATAACGAACAGCTGGAATACTCCCACACTGCCCCTTCTTTTCCGGCTCCCATAGAACCACACAGAACCACCATAGAACCTCCATAGAACCACCATAGAACCACAATGGAACCAAGTACATAACGAACAGCCGGCATGCTCACACTGCCCCTTCTTTTCCGGCTCCCATAGAACCACATAGAACCACCATAGAACCTCCATAGAACCACCATAGAACCACAATGGAACCAGTTACATAACGAACAGCTGGAATACTCCCACACTGCCCCTTCTTTTCCGGCTCCCATAGAACCACATAGAACCACCATAGAACCTCCATAGAACCACCATAGAACCACTATGGAACCAGTTACATAACGAACAGCTGGAATACTCCCCACACTGCCCCTTCTTTTCCGGCTCCCATAGAACCACAGAACCACCATAGAACCTCCATAGAACCACAATGGAACCAAGTACATAACGAACAGCCGGCATGCTCTCACACTGCCCTTCTTTTCCGGCTCCCATAGAACCACATAGAACCACCATAGAACCTCCATAGAACCAACATAGAACCACTATGGAACCAGTTACATAACGAACAGCTGGAATACTCCCACACTGCCCCTTCTTTTCCGGCTCCCATAGAACCACATAGAACCACCATAGAACCTCCATAGAACCACCATAGAACCACTATGGAACCAGTTACATAACGAACAGCTGGAATACTCCCACACTGCCCCTTCTTTTCCGGCTCCCATAGAACCACACAGAACCACCATAGAACCTCCATAGAACCACCATAGAACCACAATGGAACCAAGTACATAACGAACAGCCGGCATGCTCTCACACTGCCCCTTCTTTTCCGGCTCCCATAGAACCACATAGAACCACCATAGAACCTCCATAGAACCACCATAGAACCACAATGGAACCAAGTACATAACGAACAGCCGGCATGCTCACTGCCCCTTCTTTTCCGGCTCCCATAGAACCACACAGAACCACCATAGAACCTCCATAGAACCACCATAGAACCACAATGGAACCAAGTACATAACGAACAGCCGGCATGCTCACACTGCCCCTTCTTTTCCGGCTCCCATAGAACCACATAGAACCACCATAGAACCTCCATAGAACCACCATAGAACCACAATGGAACCAAGTACATAACGCAGAACAGCCGGCATGCTCTCACACTGCCCCTTCTTTTCCGGCTCCCATAGAACCACATAGAACCACCATAGAACCTCCATAGAACCACCATAGAACCACTATGGAACCAGTTACATAACGAACAGCTGGAATACTCCCACACTGCCCCTTCTTTTCCGGCTCCCATAGAACCACATAGAACCACCATAGAACCTCCATAGAACCACCATAGAACCACTATGGAACCAGTTACATAACGAACAGCTGGAATACTCCCACACTGCCCCTTCTTTCCGGCTCCCATAGAACCACACAGAACCACCATAGAACCTCCATAGAACCACCATAGAACCACAATGGAACCAAGTACATAACGAACAGCCGGCATGCTCTCACACCTTCTTTTCCGGCTCCCATAGAACCACATAGAACCACCATAGAACCTCCATAGAACCACCATAGAACCACTATGGAACCAGTTACATAACGAACAGCTGGAATACTCCCACACTGCCCTTCTTTTCCGGCCCCATAGAACCACACAGAACCACCATAGAACCTCCATAGAACCACCATAGAACCACAATGGAACCAAGTACATAACAGACAGCCGGCATGCTCTCACACTGCCCTTCTTTTCCGGCTCCCATAGAACCACATAGAACCACCATAGAACCTCCATAGAACCACCATAGAACCACTATGGAACCAGTTACATAACGAACAGCTGGAATACTCCCACACTGCCCCTTCTTTTCCGGCTCCCATAGAACCACATAGAACCACCATAGAACCTCCATAGAACCACCATAGAACCACAATGGAACCAAGTACATAACGAGAACAGCCGGCATGCTCTCACACTGCCCCTTCTTTTCCGGCTCCCATAGAACCACATAGAACCACCATAGAACCTCCATAGAACCACCATAGAACCACTATGGAACCAGTTACATAACGAACAGCTGGAATACTCCCACACTGCCCCTTCTTTTCCGGCTCCCATAGAACCACATAGAACCACCATAGAACCTCCATAGATCCACCATAGAACCACAATGGAACCAAGTACATAACGAACAGCCGGCATGTGCTCTCACACTGCTCCCTTCTTTTCCGGCTCCCATAGAACCACACAGGAACCACCATAGAACCTCCATAGAACCACCATAGAACCACAATGGAACCAGTTAAATAACGAACAGCCGGCATGCCCCACACTGCCCCTTCTTTTCCGGCTCCCATAGAACCACAGAACCACCATAGAACCTCCATAGAACCACCATAGAACCACAATGGAACCAAGTACATAACGAACAGCCGGCGCTCACACTGCCCTTCTTTCCGGCTCCCATAGAACCACATAGAACCACCATAGAACCTCCATAGAACCACCATAGAACCACTATGGAACCAGTTACATAACGAACAGCTGGAATACTCCCACACTGCCCCTTCTTTCCGGCTCCCATAGAACCACAGAACCACCATAGAACCTCCATAGAACCACCATAGAACCACAATGGAACCAAGTACATAACGAACAGCCGGCATGCTCTCACACTGCCCCTTCTTTTCCGGCTCCCATAGAACCACATAGAACCACCATAGAAGAACCTCCATAGAACCACCATAGAACCACTATGGAACCAGTTACATAACGAACAGCTGGAATACTCCCACACTGCCCCTTCTTTTCCGGCTCCCATAGAACCACATAGAACCACCATAGAACCTCCATAGAACCACCATAGAACCACAATGGAACCAAGTACATAACGAACAGCCGGCATGCTCTCACACTGCCCCTTCTTTTCCGGCTCCCATAGAACCACATAGAACCACCATAGAACCTCCATAGAACCACCATAGAACCACTATGGAACCAGTTACATAACGAACAGCTGGAATACTCCCACACTGCCCCTTCTTTTCCGGCTCCCATAGAACCACATAGAACCACCATAGAACCTCCATAGATCCACCATAGAACCACAATGGAACCAAGTACATAACGAACAGCCGGCATGCTCTCACACTGCCCCTTCTTTTCCGGCTCCCATAGAACCACACAGAACCACCATAGAACCTCCATAGAACCACCATAGAACCACAATGGAACCAGTTAAATAACGAACAGCCGGCATGCCCCACACTGCCCCTTCTTTTCCGGCTCCCATAGAACCACACAGAACCACCATAGAACCTCCATAGAACCACCATAGAACCACAATGGAACCAAGTACATAACGAACAGCCGGCATGCTATTATATCGTTTTGTTTTATTTTTCCCGTGTAACTTTTTCTTGCGGATGAAAGCAGCCAACACCGTTCCTAAACTCCGTCAAAACCCGTGTAAACCCACAGAAATCACCTGTGCACCCAGCTAACACTCGTGTTTTACATAATACCCGTTCACGCAGCCATAATGTTAAGTTAATTCACCATGCCACGAGCCATCGCTTCCCGCTACTTCTGTTTGCAGCGCGCACTTGTGAAACATTTAATATTTATTATTAACTAGACGCAGTGGGGTACTCAAATACTTTGACCCGTCATTTCGTCGACTAAAATTCGTCGACCGTTACTTCGTCGACACAATGTCGACCCGTCACGAGGTCGAACCAGTGTTGACTACACCATCTCACCAGGGCACGGTCAGAGGCGCCCCATCAGAAAATTTTCTTTGTTTGTTTGAATCGAAAACAGAAAAAGTTCTGGGAATACTTAAAAACTATTTTTATCGGCAATTATCTAGTGGGTTTGCTAAAAACAAATCTGAATTTGTAATGCAAATCGTATGTATTGTCATTGTGATGTGGTCACCCTGGTCATACTAGTGAAAATTTATGTTCCAAGGCCCGGCCACTGCGTTACCTGCTATCACTGCACACTTGACTAATTACCAGGTTTTATTAACTAGTTTTACAATATAAATTTTCAGAAAATTTCGCCGGTATTCGATTTGATCGGATTGTGTTGATTTCTGTATTCTTCTGTGTTGCGCCATGCAGGCACTACCTAATTTTTTAGAGTTCGATAAGTACAAAGATTTACATCTCAAGCCAGACATTTAGAAATATAAAATTTAGGGTAGAAGTCGAAACTGAAGCTTTTACCAGAACGATAACAGCATTTTTAATGGGAATTCGTACCTAGCTATAGTACTTCCACTCCAACACATTCGCAACGTACATATACTGCACATTTTGTTTTTTGGCCACGCCCACTGGACCATTGCCGATGGAAATAGTTTTCGAGGTATTGCCAGTACTTCCACTGCCTCAAAATAAAAAAGTAAAAATTTTCTGAGGGAAGTTTCTGACCGTGCCATGATCAATTTTCTGGTTTTCCTAGTATTTTTTAGGTTTTCTTAGATTTCCATAGGTTTTCTTGGTTTTCTTAGTTTTCATAGATTTTTCAGGTTCTTATATTTTTTAGTTTGCTTAGGTTTTCTTAAGCTTCTAAGGCTTTCTACCCGTCGCATTCGAGTACTAAGGTAAGTGTTAAGAAGGGCTCACGCTCAAACATGGATTAATGAAACGACTTGGAGTGCATTTCACTTAAACTTGGACGTTCGTTAGGTTCTCTGATATTGTGTTCTCATGAATATTTTCTTATTTTTTTATGCTAAACTTGTGTTTCTGATGCTATTTGTTTGTTATTTAATTCTTATGTTATTCGTATGTTATTCTTATGTTACTCTTATGTTATCTTATGTTCTCATGCTATCTGATGCTGCATTCTTATCCTTCTTTTTTTTGTTCAGTTAGAAAGTTTATTGGCAATAGCCGCCCAAATGGCAATAAATGCGAGCGCTGGTACACTACTTAATAGTTAAAAATTAAACATTAAAAAAACAACCAAAATCCTTATCCTCTCTCGGATTAAAAGGCAATGCACTCAAAACAGCCGTAGCATTTCCTTTAACAACAGCTAAACTAAAACGCTGCTTGAGAAAAGCAGTAGAACGCGCTTCGCCCGTTATGTCCCGAATCTTCCGGCCCATGAAATGCAGCATTTCACTGAAAGCAGGGCCAAAAACTCCCAGTGTCTCAATAACCAGCGGATAAAAGAGGTAACCGTATTCCAAAAAGGAATACGTCCGGCGCTTGGAATTTTCTGCCATTTGGGACAGAATTCCGGATTTCTTCGCGCTTGCAGCGACGTGGAAATCTGCTACAGTACACCAGCTTGTTACATCCCAAACAAGCGGTCTGCCTTGGCGAACAGGTATCAGCGTCATTCCGTCGGGTCTTTTCCCGTCTGTGCTGGATAGTCCAGTCGGTTCCAGTTGACAAGGGTAACCAGCGCTTTTGCAACAATTTTTTGCGATGCTGTTCATTTCTTTATGCCGCGCCCATCGTCCTTTGGTTGATTTATTGCATGATAGCCCGTGATGACCATTGGTTTCGACTTGTGTACCGTACGCGATGCAATGGTGTGCCACCACTACCGGTAATCCAAAGCGCAAGCCTACACCAGTTCTCACATCGTCGTCCCTTAGGAAGGTGCCCAAACATGGCGCCGGCAACGCATTTAACCACGCTCCAGAATCTTTGTTTAAGGCAGCCAGCAAGACCGCCCTAGCGCGGTCGCTGCCTTCAGTGGATGACATCAGCAAGGAAATATCCCGATCAATCACTGGGTTGTCCCACGCAAACTGAAACTTTCGAAGGAATTCTGCCGGAATCTCACCTTCTGTCAGCTGTACCCAGGTTTCCTGAGCTGTTTTCGTCAGACATTCCTCCGTTGGCTGATAAAATTCGGAAACGATGGGTTGCACAGAGTACACCGATGCCAGATAGGCGCAAACAGCTAATGTCTCTATGCGTCGCGTTCCCAAACCCCCACGCCATACTGGAAGAGATATCTGCGTCCACTGAGCTTCGGAAATGTTCACGTTGACCAGCTGTTCCACCCCCAACCGCAACATCTGGTCATATTCTTTTAGCAACTGCGGGTGTTCATAACTACGTGAAGTTCGCAACCCGTATAAAACTTTGGGAATGCTGAGGCAGTTTTTAAGAAGAAAGAGACTGTAGTGTGCCGATAGCTTTTTCAGACGCTGGACGAAATTTTGGAGCTGCTTCGTTTTCCAGCCAAAAATCCCGCGCATGCAGAAGATGTCATCGGTGCTCCCAACAGAGAGAAATCCTCGGCACTTAGCTGTAACATCTCCGGCCAGCAGCCTAACAGAGACGTGCGAATATGCGCTTCTTCCGCTTCGCAAGTTACGACTGGAAAGAATTCACATTTACTGAAGTTCAACTCCAGACCCAGTTTTGCTGCTCTTTCTTGTATCAGCCTAATGGCCAACATCACTTTTTCCACAGTCCCAGCGAGTGTAACATCATCGAGAAAGGCTAGATACAAATCACAGTCCAAGTCAGAGAATAGAGGTAGCGTGGCTAGGCTGTATCCAAGTGGGCCAGATGGGTCACCTTGCTGCACTCCCCGGGCGGATGACAACGCTTCTTCTCCGCAAACCAAATGACTGCTGAAGCGATAGGACTGCCAAAAATAACCGTAGTACGTGGGGAAATGCTCACGGACAGCTCTTAGCAATGCGTCTCGTCTCAACATATTGAATGCGTTTTTAAAATCTAGTTTAACAATGACCCGAGCTTCTGTATGGGGAGTTTCCAAATAGTCCCGCACCCCGTGAATAATGGCCTCGGCTCCGCCTTTAGTCTCAAAACCAAACTGGACTCGGTTGCACAGCTCCTTCATCTTATCCGTGCACCTCTGGCTCACCACTTTCGAGACTAAACGTCTGAAGGTTTCTCCGACAGCGATGGGGCGAATACTTCCGTCTTTCTTAGCCAATGGGATTAGGTTTGCGCCAAAGAAGAAAGGCCTAATGTCTTCAGGGATGTCGTTGTGCAGTACATGGTTAACGAAATCAGCCAAAGCGGAACACAGTTCACTTTCGACAGCTCCAGGCCCGCACAACATATCTTTAAGGTCTTGTGGCCGTAAGTCCGAACAACCACCAGCAGATCCAGAAGGAAACTTAGAACGGATTGCAAAACTTCAGCAGGGGTGACTAAAGGAGGCTTCTGTGACTGCTCAGGCGGCGGGGGGTAATCACTGTCATCTGGCTCCGGAGGATGCTTACCGCGTAGGGCTTCTAAAGTGTCCGCATTCATCGGGGCAAGAGCATCTTCACCCATTACTACTCCAACAGCCCGTCGCACATTATTGTCTTGCAACAGGGATGTGGCCAAAGCCGTCAGTCGCTCTTCATTCAATTCGCGTTTACGGGTTGTATCACTGCTAGGACGTGTGCGGGGAGGATGATGGTGGCAGGACAGATCGGCCAGGTTCCTCCGAATAATGGTAGACAGCGATACCTTCCGGAGTGACTTCGTGGCAGGTAAAGATAGCGCACTCGAACTAAAAAGCAGCAAATCTACCCAAGACGCGGAGGAGTTATCACGTACACATTTACGGAGGAGTTGAGTGAGGGCCTGGGCACACGAGCGTCGGACTGTTTTTGGCACTCTCTTCGGGAGGGTATAATGTGTCCCGGAGAGGAGAAACCCAAGGGGGTGTTGGTCAGAGTCGGACTGGGGAGCGACCGAGGGCTGTCGGGCATGGACTTTCTTGCTGCAGGCCTTGACATGATTGGCGAACCCTGCGCCTTTGGTGAACATGCTCTGGCAATACTGACATTGCTGATCTTTCGCCATTTCAGCAGGACCCAAGAGCTACAAATGAATTAAAAGCCCAGAAAAACAGCTCCACAGCAATATGACATCGACCAGCGAGAAACGACATACCCGATTACCTGGGGTTCACAAAAGTTCCCCCCAAGTAGTGTCGTTCAAGGCCCAGTGAACATTGCAGCGACTCCCAGACTCATCCGTAGGAATCCGTAGGAAATTTAAACAAATTAATTAGAGGGACCGTGGTTTCTATATAAAATTAATTAGAGGAAAATAAAATTATTTAGAGGGACCGTGGTTTCTACCTTCCAGTTTACGGTAAAATTGCAGTTATAAACCAACCTCGTTGTTGTGCTTCCTGCGAAATCAGTTAATTTGTTCAGTTAATTCATATAACTTAAGAACAACATAACTGGAAAAATTCACTGATGGGTCCATTGTGAGACCGGAGCTCAACGCTTAGCAGGGCATATTTTTTGAGTTTCGAAAATTTTGAAAACGCATTTTATCGTTCCTTAGTCTAAAATTGTTTCATGGCAAAAAACCAGATAACTATCTGCAGTTCTGTAAAGATACATACATACGTTCCGCTACAGCGCAGTACAGCTTTTTCCAGTGATTAGTGATTACTCATGTACTATGTTTCTGATTTCCCTACCATTCTAGCAGCTGAAGATGTTTTCATTTGTCAACCGGCATAAATTAAACACAATAAATTAATCGCAAGGTAGCACTGCAAAATTGTAGATTTTTAAAATTTGTTTTTTACTAGTTCTTAAGTAAAGATTTTTTTGTCTGAGTAGGACTTAGAAGTTTGCATTGCTATAATTACGCAAGAAGCCTATATTGCATTGGTCAGTATGGCGCCCTTGATTTCAGCTTGGTAATCTCCCGAGACAAAGATAAAAAACAAAATAATGCAAAACAAAATAAGTACTACAAAACTTCTCCTGTAAACACCATATTTTACGGTCACATGACTAACAACACAACGGCTTGTGTCCCGTTGAGCATTTAAGGTAACTGTCTGTGAAAACCAATTTTTACTTCTTTATATGACATCATTTTTTGCTTCCTTTTATGGCGTCATTTTATTTCCGTAACCGCAAAACAGACAGTTGTTAATTAAGCCTAAATTATAGGACCGGCGCTGCGCTCCGTTCGAAAATTGCGTAACAAAACCTAAGAAAAGTATACGAACTTTTGAGTCTGTAATCATTGTACATTGAAAATGGGTGCTGTTTTCATTGAATTGCGCAAAACATGTACGACTACTTTTGATAACTAATTCTAAGAATAAAGAAGGTAGCATGCCGACTGAGACTATGTACGTGGTTCCATTGTGGTTCTACGGTGGTTCTATGGCGGTTCTATGGAGGCTCTATGGTGGTTCTATGTGGTTCTATGGGCGCCAGAAAAGAGGGCTAGTGCGGGAGCATGCCGGCTTGGGACTTTGCACGTGGTTCCATTGTGGTTCTATGGTGGTTCTATGGAGGTTCTATGGTGGTTCTATGTGGTTCTATGGGCGCCAGAAAAGAGGGCTAGCGCGGGAGCATGCCGGCTTGGGACTTTGCACGTGGTTCCATTGTGGTTCTATGGAGGTTCTATGGTGGTTCCTAATCCATAGAACCACTAAGTCACTAATGTCCTAACTTGGACATTCTCTCGGAATGTATGGTTTCCTTTCTACGACACTAAACTCTAGTTTCGTTTAAACCGTAAAACAGAAGCGTCAAATAATTTCCCCGATGTGATTTCAACCGTGGGTAAGAAAATGCAATGTCGGCTCGGAACGAAACGATGGATCAGCGACCGAATCTGCGTTTTTTCTATGCTGATATTTTTTTGAAGTGTCTATCAGCGCGGGCTTGTTGTTGTTATCTTGTTGTTATCGGCAGCTGCGTGGAAAACATGAAGACAGAAAATCCGATCAAACTGTATCGTAGCCGAGTAAGATTCAACAGCGGCGCAAGTCAAAGTACAGAGCGAACAGTATGTGACACAATAGTCTTAGGGCATAAGCAATACGACTTTAAAAGGAACATACAGCTAGAGTAGCTTGATAATTATTATTACTTGATTTGTATCAAGAATGACATCCGCAATGTCAGTTTTCGGATTCCGCGTCTCCGACGCAGAAGAATTCGTTGATGCCGTAGATAGCCATACGGGTGAGTGTGGATACATCCAGCACGCGCAAGTCCACATCGTCCCTCGGCCACATGTACAGATTCCCCTCCGCGTCGAATCCGTTAAACCTGCAACGCAAATCTGTTAGTCTCAGTTCAGACGTCGCGATATCGCGGCTGCTCACAGGATGAGGTAGGTGCGAATGGCCTTCCACTCCTTAGGATACGCCAGAGCGCGCACCCAGTACGCGTGCACCGCCGTGACCTTTGCCAGCATCTCCTGCGTCACCGGCGGGAAGTGGGCGTTCAGCGCCTGCATGAAGCGCGCCGACATGCGCTCCTCGCCTTCGCTGCATTTGAGAAGCAGCCGCGGAATGGTGACGCGCAGCCGGTCAATGTCCAGCGTGTAGGAGCCCTTCGTGGGGGGAGGCATCGAGTTGCGCTTGCTGGCACGCAGAAGACGGGTGGGTTTGCGGTTCACAATTTGCGGATCGCCTTCGAAGGCGAAGAACATCGCCCGGCCGAAAAGGTCGCCGACGGTCCAGTTGATCAGCAGAATGGCGTCACACAAGTCTTCAGGCGGCAATGCGAGGCACGCCGCGGGATGCTGGTAGAATCCTGTCGGGGATTCGTCGGCAATGTAATGCAGTTTGTCGCTAGTGCGGTCTTTAAAGACAATAATTCGCAGATGGACTCGGCACTTTTTCAGCCAGGGCAACAACAAAACGCCGTGTTGTTGATGGAGGAGGGGCAGAAGGGTGAGAGTGCTGGCGGAAGTGATGGAGCGACTCAAGAGAACGGCCGCTTTGAAGCAGGTGTCCGTGTCGGCTTGCAGGTGGCAGCAGCTCTCGAATGAGATGCTGATGTGCTCCGCCATGCGGGCAGCGCTCAGCAATAACTGCCACAATGCACAGACCCTGTCGCAACAGTGACCACCATTAGACAACAGTCAGTGCGACATGCTTGGTTATCAATTATCCCGTAAAATATCCATGGTGGACCAACTTTTTTATATGACTAGTGTTACCGTTTGGCCCTCATCCGGGAATGCACATCCAGGTGTGTTAAGATGTCGCTCTGCATCCACGCCGGCAAATGACCGATTCCCGCAGACGGCCGCTCAACACCGCTTTCCTCGTCTGCAGCAACATTAAAAACGCTCCTCACTAAACTGCGACAAATCATACTATTTGCAGTTGACGCCCGGCTACCAACCTCCATCCGGTGGGCTCGCGTCCCTCAGTCTGATCGGCGGCAGACTATACCGGCTTTTTAAATGGGTCCGTAGTACTTCGGCCAACGTTTCCTCCGTCTTCTGGGCCGTCTGCGCGTCCTTTGCGAAACTGACGACGATGAACGTGCAACCGACCTTCTCAACGCGCATGTGGAAGCGGCAACGGTCGAAGCGATAGGGTTCATTGGTTCCGTGTTGTCGTTGAAAAGCGTCGCGCAGGTGCTTGACAACGCGGAATTTGTCGGAGGCGTCGCTGAGGACGTTCGGCGCTTGTTCGAAGGGAATGAAGTGCTTGCTGAACAGCAGGTCTTTCTCCCGGTCCAATAACGACGGACCCGGCGGCGGCCAAATCCCGGTAAGTTGACCATTGTGCACCAGTTGAAAAGAAGCGTTCGGCTGGTGTTCGAGACAGATGTTGTGTGCCTGACATCTGGCGCAACTGGGATCCAGCTGCGTCGTGATGTCGAACATTTGACAGGATTCGCCGCAACCATCAAGATAGCTCCGCCAGGTGGCGCGTCGGAAGCCGAACGGTCCGCCAGCTTCATAACGTAGAGCCACATGATAATTTCCGTTTCCGTTGGCGCTGACAGCACGGCCTTCCCAGTAGAAGGGAAACGGCCAGATAGTGCCCATGTGGATCCACTCGGGCGGGGTCGTCGTGGAGTTGAAGTGTATGAGTGCGTGGTTGAAGTGGATGTGGGCGTGGTCGACTTCAATGTCCTGGATATATCCCAGCCACCAAGTGTCGTCGTCCCTCTTCACCGCCACCGTGTTCTGGTAGCTCATCCAGTTATCCTCCGCCAGCAGCGGCCGATACATCCCCATTTCGGGTTGATTCATTTGTCGATCTACAACAGCTAAACGTTCTACTTTGCATTTTTCGCTTTACCGAAATATGCTAAACTAGCTAACCCCGCGCAAAATGCGCGGAATAATTTTCTAGAAAAAAACTGCCCCCACTTGGCTCGGCAGGGCTGTAATTACTTGTTGAAACGTTGTTTGACCTATTACAAAGCCCTTTTTATTATACTTTTACTGTATTTCCGAACATTACTCGGATTGCCATAAGCCTAATGTCGGCTTGCCCTAATGCAGCGCTCAGCTGCCCAGGGCGGTGACTTCCCACCGTTGCTGCGGGCGGTTGGCTACTTCCTGTCAAAAGGGTGTCAGTAATATTGCCGGATCACGGACAACTATGAGAAAAACACATTTCATTCACAGTGAGGTGAAAACTAAAGTCGACCAACTTAAAAATACCACTTAACCCGTATGGAGTGACAGCTTCCGTCCCACTCATTATTTTTTTAAAAATTCCGTTGTGACCGTAGTCTAAAGGTGATAAACCACAGTTGATTATCATTCAACTAGCTGAACCCGCGCAAATTGCGCGGAATAAATAATGCAATAATATACCAAAGTCAGTTGTCAATAATATCTACTGGAAAATTTTTCCTATTCCTTTGACTGCAGCAATGGCCTTAGAGCTGAAATGCAACATTTTTCTCCCAAAGCGAATAAGTTTTCCATTAGTTTCCGACCTTTTTTTTGCTTCCAGATCAGTCACCAATCAGTTAGATTTCGTGCAGTTGCCGCACAGGGACTCTGCAATTATGCAATTATTAGAACATGTTCTTCCTTCCCGGTCTTTGACATTCAGCGCTTTTTAAGCTGCAACTATACTCACACGTCAGTAACTGCCGGCAATGCAGTTAACAACTGACTTAAATTTCTTTTTGACCACCGACACCGCTATTACCCGTTTAATCCCAGTTTAAAAATCAGTATACTAATAGAGCCAAATTCAACCTTTTTCTATCGTTTTGACGACAGAATTACTTTAACTAAAAATGACAGATAAATTTTTCTGAGTATCCTCCTGCGCTTTTTGTTTTTCTAAATGTAGCACATTTCTCGAAAAAATAAGCCAGCAGTCAACAGATCGCACACGCGTCAGAATCAATGTAACTGCAACACATAAAACTTTTATACTTCATTATTATACATACATTATGATACAAAGCACCCGCGCTCCATTCCTCATTCAACTACGGATAAGTAGTTAACTAACTGACTAGTTGCATCGTTTTTTCCGTTTTTTATTTTCTCGTTTGTACAAAACTGTCGCCGTACACACACCAC